TTGTCCTATAAAAGCCTGCGGATTTTAAGGTGTTATACTTAAAATGACAATTCCTCTACAAAATCGGTTGAAACAAGACATCACAGTAAAACGTTGACATAAGTGTGCGGATGAGAGTGCAGGTTAAAGTCTTATGAAAAAAATGTGGCGATGCCTGAAGAAGATCTCTGTTTGTATAAAAAAAGCCTGGAGTTTTTAATACAGTGTGCAGATCGTTATGTCTGATTTCACTACCCTCTGTTGCTTCTAACCCTTCAGTCATTTTAAAGTTATCTCCTTTTTAAATGTGAGCGACGTTAAGCCGGGTGCAAATGTTTCAGTAGCCTTCACCAGAGCCTCTTTACAAACTCACAGGGAGACATGCAACTGTCTCAGCCTGAGCTACTTCCTCAATAAACAATCATCTTATCAGCTGCAAATGTTTTCAGGGCATGAAAATGTAACCTTGGGAAAGTCTCCCCCCTCTCTCGAACACACTGCACAGGAGGGATTCATGTAATCAGCCTGTAGATAGAGGCTAAACATCTCCTAACATGTTTTTGTTAAACGTCGGTATTTCAAAACCTTGACCCCATGTTCACATGTTTTTGTGTCAAAGTAGATAACGGCAATACAATTTTAGAAAGTGGTCGAGTAGGGAGTGAGAGCAAACAGTCTGCAGTTTAATCTTATCTGCAATTCTCCACGTCAATGTACGTCCGTTAAAGATTTGTTTTTGCCACTAACAGGCTCAGATTGTCAGTATAAGATGATTACAACAAGATGAGAGCAGTATGAAAAGGACAAGTTGTTTTTCTTTACCTTTTCTGTCTCACCAAGTCTCGTTCTGAAACCTTGCGTCACATTCACACTATTTGAAAATAGGCTACACTTCCTGTTAGTGATACACACTTTTTACTGATAGACACTCACATTTTCCCACTCATTTCAGCCGATTGCAGATAAACGGACATACTTCTTTCAGCCTGATTGTAGAGCAAGTCTCTCCTGTAGTGGAATAATAATGATATTCGTAGTACTGCTAGGTTAGAATTGGGAGGGATGAAACCCTCTTTAATGGTCACACATGCAGAGCACACAGTGAAATGTGTTCTCTGCTTTTAACCCATCCTAGTACCAGGAGTCTAGTACCAGGAGTCTAGTACCAGGAGTCTAGTACCAGGAGTCTAGTACCAGGAGTCTAGTACCAGGAGTCTAGTACCAGGAGTCTAGTACCAGAGTCTAGTACCAGGAGTCTAGTACCAGGAGTCTAGTACCAGGAGTCTAGTACCAGGAGTCTAGTACCAGGAGTCTAGTACCAAGAGTCTAGTACCAGGAGTCTAGTACCAGGAGTCTAGTACCAGGAGTCTAGTACCAGGAGTCTAGTACCAGGAGTCTAGTACCAGGAGTCTAGTACCAGGAGTCTAGTACCAGGAGTCTAGTACCAGGAGTCTAGTACCAGGAGTCTAGTACCAGGAGTCTCGTACCAGGAGTCTCGTACCAGGAGTCTAGTACCAGGAGTCTAGTACCAGGAGTCTAGTACCAGGAGTCTAGTACCAGGAGTCTAGTACCAGGAGTCTCGTACCAGGAGTCTCGTACCAGGAGTCTCGTACCAGGAGTCTAGTACCAGGAGTCTAGTACCAAGAGTCTAGTACCAGGAGTCTAGTACCAGGAGTCTAGTACCAGGAGTCTAGTACCAGGAGTCTAGTACCAGGAGTCTAGTACCAAGAGTCTAGTACCAGGAGTCTAGTACCAGGAGTCTAGTACCAGGAGTCTAGTACCAGGAGTCTAGTACCAGGAGTCTAGAACCAGGAGTCTAGTACTAGGAGCAGGAAGGGGGGTGTCCGGTGCCTTGCTCAAGGGCACCACGGCAGGGCAGGAGGTGAACTGGGACCTCTCCAAGTAGCAGTCCACACTCCACATTTTAGGTCTGGTCGGGGACTTGAACCGGCGACCCTACAGGTCATCATCAATACTCAATCAGACACTAAACCACAGGAAAGGTTAAACATTTTTTACCCTTCTTAAGATGGACCTGTTTACGTCGGCCTTACTTGTAATGGAGGAACCAAAATTGCCTCTTTACTCACTTCGTTTTAAGAGCCATAGAAGTTATTTTTGAGGTTTAATCAACTTAACTGAAAATTCCTGTGGTGTGTTTTATAGGTTTTTGCACCTGTGACTTAAGAATGTAATTGTCATAACTACACCGTAGCTATGCACACATGACAATAAAAGCCTTGAAACTTGAATGTAAATGGTCTGCAAAAGCGAAAATCCCAAAGTTCCCTACAAATATGAACCTGAAAATGAGCATACCAGGGCTCCGTTTAATCACTGGGGACATTCAGTAGCTTTTATTCTCAAGCCATGGTAACTTTGTCGTTGCATAAGTTTGCATTTGCAACCAGGAAGTATCATCAAAATGACTCAAGTTACAAGTCCCTACGAGTAGATGTTCATACCAAATGCTGCCTGGAATGTAGGAAATAGTTTATAAAGCATCTGGATGTTGTAAGCCAGAAAAGAAAGGTACAGTTAATGTTTTACACATGCGGAACAACTTGTACGGTCCTTAACACTGAATAAATAAACTAGGGATGCTGACCCAGAGGATTTTAAGGTGCATCATTGATCACAATGTGCTTTGTTTGTTGCTTTAAGAGGAATACTCTGTAAAGGAATTTGAACAAAACCTCAAACCTGTTTCCTATCTCTCTTTTGGCTTTGAGAAAATGTTTGACTTTATTAGAGTTAAATTCCTCAGGGAAAGAACATGTTGTCCCCTTTTTAGTTTCGGTGGCGTCATCCTCCGTTGAAATCTAAGACCCCGTCTACACGGAGACGAAAACGAACCGAAATCAAAAAAGTCTTCCGTCCACACGGAATCGGCTCAAGAAACGTGTCCGTCCACTAGGGATGGGAATTTGAAAGCAAATGTATATTCGAATATTCGACCCCCAAAAAAACGGTTAACTGAAATGTACATGTTGAAGTCGAATTTGTCAAATGTATTGAACTGGTGATCACAGTTTGAACAGTTGCTAGGCCTACAGCTTTCATGCTTAAAACATAACTTGTTTTTTAAATGAAAGAGGGATCATACACGAACAACATAACGGGTTAGGGTAACGTAACCCTATCACAACAGAGATCAACAACCTATAACTGGGCCTATGCACAGAATGCAGCTATTCAATACTCATTCTTGTTTAAGAATATGAGCATGTCTACTCAGGGGAGAGGCGGGTGCGGAGACGATTCACAATCAGGCCAGCTGTAGAGAAGACCCTCTCAGCTGGAATTTGGGCATAAGATGAGGTTTGAGTCTGCGTGATCTGCGTGTAGGGAGGGGCAGCAGCCATATCATTAGCTAGAACTAGCTAGATCTGATGGATTTGGACATAAACGCGAGTGAAGTATAACCGGACGCGAGAGAGAGAGAGAGAGATCAGCACCTGCAGCTCTGCCCGCTGTGAGGGACCGGTGAGCGGAGCAAAACACACCTTTAGACCTAACACACTTAGCTATGGCACTGTCGTATACATTGAATTATTCCATTTGATCATATGTAATCAACTTAGACACCCCTCCCAAAAAAATTAAATATTCATAACTCATATTCTCATATTCGAATACCTGAATAATTTCGAATATTCGATTAATCGTTCCCATCCCTACCGTCCACACGAGACCGCTCGACCCGCTGGAGACGCTGTAGTATATATGCCGGGCCTGTAAGTGGCGCTGTTCTTCCGCCACAAAATACACCAAAAGCAGCGAAGAAGACCCCCCGAGCATGGTTGCCATGGTTGCCTGGTTGCCCTTCTGGTTATTCTCCGCGGTGGATTTAGCAACATGTAGTTGATGTAGTTCTCCATGTCCACTTGTTGCTGATGGTTGTGGTAGAGGAGCTGTAGATTTTGCACTAACATCTGTATCAAGGTCAGTAGCGTCTGGAGCACGAACGCAACCCTGTGATCCGCCGTTGTTGTTGGCGAAACACATCAGCAATGACGCGGGGGTGAGCAGGAGAGGTGGGGCTATGGTGTCATCGTTATCAGGAAATGATCGTATAGGGCGTACCCACGGAGCCGTTTGCCCCTCCAGAGCGTTTCATCCGCAGATCTACCCTCCTTGGTAGCCGTTATCGTTATCCGCGTTTCCGTGTCGGCCTCGTGTGGACGAACCGTCTATACGATAGAGAACTGTAGCGGATACAACCCGTTTCTCCTCCGTGTGGACGGGGTCTAAATTAGCAATCATTAATGTTTACAAATGAAGTACAACACATCAGAAGTTGAGTCAAATCCACATAAAAAATAGGGAAGTTTGGTTCATTTCAGTAAAGCACTTCAATATACATATATAAATATTTTATAAACAATAATTTATAGCTTTTGAAAAAGTGTCAAACGACAGCGAACTTATGTACTGACGAAAAACACAACATCCTTAATTCATAATTGTTTTTGATGCTGATAAATGTACATTGTTCATTTATAAAAAGGCCCAATAAATGAACAAATATTATAATTGTATAAATCAGAATTTCAGTCGAATCCACATGAATAAATAGTTAGGTTTTGTTTAGTCATAGCTTTTGAAAAATGGACAAACCAAAGTGAATTTCATGTATTTTTTTTTATTATTCTAAGATGCCGAACAATGTTAGATACATATTTTAGGTACATTCATATTGTTTGAATGTTGATTAATGTACATTTATAAGATCATAAGTCCCTTAACTTTTATTGGCAAAGAGGTATATTTCCGTTTCACACCTCTAACCTGTTTCCTGTCTCTCTTGTGGTTTGAAAAAAGCATTTGACTTCACCAAAGTTACATTCCTCACAGACAGAACATGTTGACCTGTTCAGCTTTGGTGTCGTCATCCTCCGTTTGATCCTATCAGAGTTTCTGTTCATATGTTACATCCGTACCTCCTTTCTTTATTAATTTAATGTACGTATGTTGTTGTTTACCTGCTCTCACAAAGGTTTGTTTTCTCTGTTTTGCAGACCCGTTGGAATGCCAAAAATGGAGAAAGTTTATTTACATAATCCTAGTGCAGAAGAAATTAGTTTGATATCGATATCAGCAACAACAGCACATTTTCACGCATCCTTTTTCCAGAATAGGGTAAGTACCTTTCACTCGGAAGTCACATTTTTCCACAACAAATCCTTGATCATCATTCTTCAGAACTTTGCTTCTGTAAACAAGATACTTATGTCGAAGTATTTCCTGTACTATGCGCTTACTTTTTTTTTGCTTTAAACTCAAATAGACCCCAGTAGTCAGGGACCTTCTTCAAGATCAGACAGCAAACACGTAAACAGCAGCATGGAGACTGAAAGTAATACTGCAGTGGGAAGTCCCAATGCACATCACACGTGTCATTGAAACATGTGACCGCACCCTCGCAGATGAAAGGCCGAGCATAAGGAGACCAAAACATGCAGCAAACAAGATGAAGTAACCAGAATCATAATGAAGTTATAGTTACTCAATCTTTAAACATGAATCCCTGTTCTTGGAAACATGATATCTTGGGAACACAACTTGCACTCAAGAACAAACTGGTAATAATTAGGTGCACAAAGGTCACTGTGACTTCACAAAACAAGTTGTTGATTTTTACTTTAAAACTCTTATGCTAATTATGACAATTTAACACAGATCTCTAAAAGCCTGGGTCCACATTTGAGTTTTTTCTGGCAGGAAATGTCAGCGTTTCATCAAAAGAACATTTGTTTATGACGACAATATACTGACAACTAACACCACTCTTACCGCCGTTGTTAATAGACTGCTTTTGCACCTCTGATTTGTGTTATCTATTTGTTTGACATTATTTATTTACTATAAACAACAACTGGTGGAAGCTTGTCCTCATATCTGACAGTCAAGTTCACGTTTATGAAAACACAACTGCTTTCTACCGTAAATATCAGATAAAAAAATACAACCTTTGCCATATATAGTTCTTCTAATAGTTAAAAGACAACAACTTGGGGAGAGGATGCATCAGGACAATGTTTTTTTTTGACATATTAGCAAATATATCATGTTTCTAGAAATCATATAACATATTTTATTCGGCCTACAAACGAGCAAATTAACCGTCAGACCAAACGAGTGTGGAAAAAAGCCAAAGTAAAACATTTGTAGAAACACCAGATGTTATTGAAATACAATAAAATCCATGGTAAGAAATAAGTAGCAGCATTATAAAGCAATTGAACATATACAAATAGTCAAAGAAGCAGCTGGTAATAACAATAATACACTGTAAGAAGGACACATTGCTCATATGACTCGAGTGATATTTACAGTGTTGTCACAGAGGAAGTTAAGCAGCAGCCAGTCATAATACAACATGTATATTTCACATAGCAGAGTTGCCTGAAGCTGCCTTTACAGGAAAGACCGGTTATGTCTCCTTTGGCACAGTTGCTCGCTGCAGACATGATTTGCTTTTTTAATTATCGTTGTGCCGAATGTAAGACTGTGATTATATACGTTAGGACACTATGTTTTTATGTTGTTTTCACAGCGTGTGCTCGAAGTGTTTAAGTGGTAACATAGTCTAGTCTGTAAGGCATTTATGTGCATGTCAGGGTTAAAACAAAAATGCATTAAACTTGAAGACACAAGAGAGTAGTTTACAGAGACGTTCAGTAGGAAGGAATTCAGTGCGGTTTTTAAGATAACACCTGAGGCCTCTGCTCCTCTGTCACAAGATATCTCTGTACAAATACTTTCTATATTAGGTACAAATACATCTCCAGAACCTTACATTTTAAGAGATTTATTGCTAACTTTATAAGGCATTCATAGTTTAGCTAGCTATTTGGTGTATAGCTTTATGTGAGCTTGTCTCTAGATTCAACCATTACTACTCCAACTTGGTCCTGCAAGGGTTTAAACTGCTGAAAATCATGTTATGGTTATATTTTTTGCGGACTACAGCACGGTCACATGACTTCACGTCACCACCGCTAAGCTAAAGGCGGCTAATGTTGGGCTATAAAGCAACTACAGCACGGTCAAATGACTTCACGTCACCACCGCTAAGCTAAAGGCGGCTAATGTTGGGCTATAAAGGAACTACAGCACGGTCACATGACTTCACGTCACCACTGCTAAGCTAAAGGCGGCTACTGTTGGGCTATAAAGGAACTACAGCACAGTCACATGACTTCACGTCACCACCGCTAAGCTAAAGACGGCTAATGTTGGGCTATAAAGTAACTACAGCACAGTCACATGACTTCACGTCACCACCGCTAAGCTAAAGACGGCTAATGTTGGGCTATAAAGTAACTACAGCACAGTCACATGACTTCACGTAACCACCGCTAAGCTAAAGACGGCTAATGTTGGGCTATAAAGGAACTACAGCACGGTCACATGACTTCACGTAACCACCGCTAAGCTAAAGACGGCTAATGTTGGGCTATAAAGGAACTACAGCACAGTCACATGACTTCACGTAACCACCGCTAAGCTAAAGACGGCTAATGTTGGGCTATAAAGGAACTACAGCACGGTCACATGACTTCACGTCACCACCGCTAAGCTAAAGGCGGCTACTGTTGGGCTATAAAGGAACTACAGCACAGTCACATGACTTCACGTAACCACCGCTAAGCTAAAGACGGCTAATGTTGGGCTATAAAGGAACTACAGCACGGTCACATGACTTCACGTAACCACCGCTAAGCTAAAGGTGGCTACTGTGTGTGTGATGACGTTTAGCAATCTTTTTCAGACCGTTTTTTGTTAGGAACCACCTTTTTTTTCTAATACATTTCCTGTGTGCATTTAATTTTGCCTACCCAAATCCCAGCCAAAAAAAGTATTCTACCTTTTAACGAATAGTTGAATTTGTTAATTTTGTTACAATTCAATTCTCCGCTTTAAAAGAACATGCATCGAAAGAAAGGCACAGGGCTTTTCGGTGTTATAATGCAAACACAAGATTATAATTTATATCAAGGAAACTAAACATTGTTTCAAGTCGAGCTAATAATGAAGGGGTTTAATTCGTTTTTTTATTTTGTTCAACAAACTCCTTATGGAAAGCACAATTTCTTCATATTTAGTTTTTTACTTGGAAAAAAATGCAGAGGAAGTAGTTTTTAAGTGTATATAAATGCAGGATGTGCCCATGCTCTTGGGATGTATTGTAAAAATGGCAAATAAAACATATCGTTTCCTGACTGAGAAATAATGCAGATGTTAGAGTGAGTGTTTCCTATTATGCGTTATCTCTGTACTTCTGCAATTACACCAAGCCTTCATCTGGTGAGCGGTGAATGTCTCACACTGAAGTGGACGTTAAAACGTTTTTTTTTTTAAATCTCTTCGCCCTCCACTATCTGCATTTCTAAGACTCTCTGAATGTTCTGCAGCAGTGGAGATAACACATTCAGTTCTGATCTGTTAGATTAACATGCAACATCTAACTACATGATGATTCAGTGTAGATAAACCAACAAGATGTTCTGCGTTTTTGCTGTTTCTGGGGAACAGATGAGTCAAAAAACCCACTAAAACCAGCCCACTTGCAACCACAGTCGTCACCAAATTGCTAGAGTTAGAGGGTAGCTGTAATGTTTTCACAGTTGCGGATCTTTAGGTCATTTCAGGTTGTGGAAAACAGTGTTTCAGGTTATTTGGACAGCTGTTTGCCAGTGTGGTCATGTCAAAAGTGTAGGGAATTCAAAATAATATTTAGGTGGAAACTGTTGCCTCCATTGTCACCAAAAAATAAGGGTAAAATGCATACATGTAATTACTTTGATGTAAAATCAGGGTATTGGCCTGAACTGGTTAATGTTATTATAGATATTCCCATGAAAACTTAGCGACAACTTTTGCAGTTTTTTTGGGGCATTTTTCCTTTTTGCCATCTTAAAGGTCCCATGTCATGGCCATTTCTACTGATCATAATTCCATTGTTGAGGTCTACTAGAATAGATTTATATTGTTCATTGTTCCAAACACACATTGGTTTCTCATACAGCATCTCTGTAAAGTATGTGTATTCACTCTCTGTCCTACACGGCTTGTTGGAGCTCCTGCCCCCCCCCCTCCCTGTGAGCCCACTGTGCTCTGATTGGTCGGGACGTTGCGAGGCTCGCTGCTCAGTGAGCTGGCTTACTGGTGTGGTTTCCGGGTCGGCGATACAGCGCGAAACTCATCCTGAGCACACACAAACACTCACAGCCGAAGTAAAAACAATAAGTGTGGCTTGATATTGAGTAAGAAAAAGGTTTATAAACGCTGTGAGAATGGGTCTGCGGAGAGCATTTCTCCGCCATCCCAACTCGTCTATTACCAACCAGGGAGCTCTATGCAAGTCAATGGGACTTCCTGTTAGTTGAAAAGTTACGCTAAAGGTCCTGGTGTGTGAGGAGCTCCACGGATTGGTCCATTTTGGTTCCAGGAAGAAATAAATGGAAAAAGAGAAATCTCCAACGAGGCGTTCTGGGGCAGCATAGACAGGTCTTTTCTGTGTTAGAGTTTTACTCGCTACAGGGTGTACTTTGAGGGTTTGTGACTCTGCAGACCGTTTACATGCAGAAAAACCTTCATAACACACAAGGGGACGGGTAATAACCAGAAAAGCATGACATGGGACCTGTATTTTGCTCTGTTTGTTTAAAGTGTTTGTTGTTTCTGCACAAAATGTTTCTACTGTGCTGATTCTGTTGTCTGTTCCTCCTACAGATAATTCCACCAGGAGGAAACACGTCATTTGATGTCGTGTTTCTCGCTCGAGTAGTTGGGAATGTAGAAAACACTTTATTTATTAATACATCACATCATGGAGTGTTTACATACCAGGTGAAGACAGAAAAAAGCCTTTTATTGTTTGAATGATTTGTGCCAAAGGAAATGCACGTCAGCGTTTTAGGACCATTGATTAAAATATGTATATATGGAGAGAGGGAGAACATTATGAGATTAAAGCCTCAAATTAACAACAAAAAAGTTGAATATTCATTTTCATTTCATTTCAATCTTTATTTCGAACAGATTAAAAAAATAACAAATAAAAAATAACAAATGTGAATTCTCTTTTAAATGTACAGAAAAAACTCAAAATGAAAATATATTGTTTCATATTATAAATTAAAACAATGTATAAAGGAAAAAAAGAAGAGATTAAATCATACATTATTTATCTTGTACATTTTTTGTTTATTTTTCATTAGTTTCATCAACTGTAATCTTAGTGATTGTGAGTCTTTTTTCTCAAAATATAACCCCTCTCCTCCAGCACAATGATTTTTTCTTTCGTCCTAGAATAACCCTTATGCTGCGTTCACACCGGACGCGATGCGAATATTCGCTTCGCTCTAATCGCTCGAGTTTCACCGCGGCTGTCAGCTGTGTTTACTCGCATCATTCAAACAAGACGTGCTGGCAAGGGGGCTACAACTACAACAAAATGAACATATTGACCGTGATTTAATTGTAATACACGTTTCAAAATGATGCCGAAGTAACAACATACTGATACCGGTTAGTAAAAACCATGAATTAATGCTTTGACAAGTCTGCAGACAGACGGCAGGCGAAACACCTTTTAAAATGCGTGTTTTCTGAATGGAGATTGGCTAAGCTAACGCAGTATATGCTCCGACCGTCCACACTCACAACAACGGCCTATACAGACATAAATAAAGCAGCGACTGTATTCACCATGACACAGGCAGTCTGTGGTTTGTACTTGTTTAACTTTTGTCTAGTTTCTGAACAGATATGAGGAGCTGTGAGCTCTGAGTGCTAACAGCTAACGGCTGATGTTTTCTGGTTGAACGTCAGTGACGGCAGGCTGAGATCCTCACCGCTGATTGGCTACCGCGAGATCTCGTCACGCTCGAGTTGAAAAAATTGAACTTGAGCGTTTGTCGCGGCCCCCTCCAATCGCCTCAATCGCGCCGCGGAATTCGCATCCACCGCTTCATGCTCGCCGTCGGAGTGAATTTGCGTCTGTTGTACATGTAATCGCGCCGCCCCCAAACATCGCATTGCATCCGGTGTGAACGCAGCATTATACGCTCTAATTAAAAATGTGACTAATTGACTTCTCTCTCTCTCTGTCCTGAAGGTTTTCGGGGTTGGCATCCCGAACCCCTACAGACTGCGGCCCTTCATCGGGGCGCGAGTCCCAGTAAACAGCAGCTTCTCACCGCTGATAAACATCCACAACCCGTACAGTGAACCACTGCAGGTGAGGCATTAGGGTCTCTCAGGGTTTCATTTGCACCTTAAATTAGGGCTGTGCGATTATGGCAAAAATCATAATCACGATTATTTGTCAATAATTGATATCACGATTATTAAAAACGATTATCCATTTACTTTGAAAACATCCATATATTGAAAAAAAAATATTTGAACAGTATGTTTTTAACAGTTGATTACCCTGAACTTTAAGTATAATTCAACAGAAAAACCAATAAAAATAATAATCGTTTTATTTCGATTACATTGTTTTCGTAATCGTTGCAAGCCAAAATCGTAATCGAGATTAAAATACGTTTAATTGCACAGCCCTACCTTGAATTGTATTTATGTTGCTCTGTAACAAATAGTTTAAGGGTTCATTCATACCCCTGACATTCAAATTCTAAATCAACATTCAAATGCAGCGTAGCTTTTATTTTAACGACTTGTTGGCATGTCTTTGTATTGTGTTTTAAGGGTGGTAGTTGTACACAGTTGCAGATAAAACAATTCCCTATTGGTATTATACAAGTATTTAATAAGGTATACTTTGGTGTTTAGACTCTTTAAAGCATTTTCACTGCTCTCAAAGTTTGTTTTGCTGCATACGAAAGGAAACATTGAAAGAAATTGGTTCAATAAATAACTAATTCAATCAGATGAATCACTAAAAATGTACATTTCTTTTAGGGTAGTCACTTAAATAAAATTAAAACAGACTTAATTTGAAAACCTCAAGCTTCAAATGCACAAAAAATAATACAAATATATTCCATACAGCCATATATTGATATTTGGAACAGCTGACTTTTGTGGATTCATTATATTTGAATGTGTTTTGTTCCTGTCCGTGTCTCTCCAGGTTGTTGAGATGTACTCCAGCGGGGGGGATCTGCATCTCGAGCTTCCTACAGGCCAACAAGGAGGCACTGGAAAATTATGGGTTAGCCTCTCTTCACCATGTTTTAGTTTTATTTACAGTAGATTTTAAAGGTCACCTATTATGCAAAATCCACTTTTTCCTGTCTTTTCTACATCAACATGTGTCCCCTCTTCTTCATGTCTCTTCTACATCAACATGTGTCCCCTCTTCTTCATGTCTCTTCTACATCAACATGTGTCCCCACTTCTTCATGTCTCTTCTACATCAACATGTGTCCCCTCTTCTTCATGTCTTTTCTACATCACCATGTGTCCCCTCTTCTTCATGTCTCTTCTACATCAACATGTGTCCCCTCTTCTTCATGTCTCTTCTACATCAACATGTGTCCCCTCTTCTTCATGTCTCTTCTACATCAACATGTGTCCCCTCTTCTTCATGTCTCTTCTACATCAACATGTGTCCCCTCTTCTTCATGTCTCTTCTACATCAACATGTGTCCCCACTTCTTCATGTCTCTTCTACATCAACATATGTCCCCTCTTCTTCATGTCTCTTCTACATCAACATGTGTCCCCTCTTCTTCATGTCTCTTCTACATCAACATGTGTCCCCTCTTCTTCATGTCTCTTCTACATCAACATGTGTCCCCTCTTCTTCATGTCTCTTCTACATCATCATGTGTCCCCTCTTCTTCATGTCTCTTCTACATCATCATGTGTCCCCTCTTCTTCATGTCTCTTCTACATCAACATGTGTCCCCTCTTCTTCATGTCTCTTCTTCATCAACATGTGTCCCCTCTTCTTCATGTCTCTTCTTCAATCAACATGTGTCCCTCTTCTTCATGTCTCTTCTTCATCAACATGTGTCCCCTCTTCTTCATTCTCTTCTTCATCAACATGTGTCCCCTCTTCTTCATGTCTCTTCTACATCAACATGTGTCCCCTCTTCTTCATGCTCTTCTTACATCACATGTGTCCCCTCTTCTTCATGTCTCTTCTACATCAACATGTGTCCCCTCTTCTCATGTCTCTTCTACATCAACATGTGTCCCCTCTTCTCCATGTCTCTTCTACATCAACATGTGTCCCCTCTCTTCCATGTCTCTTCTTCATCAACATGTGTCCCCTCTTCTTCATAAGGTCTCTTCTAATCTATCAACATATGTCCCCTCTTCTTCATGTCTCTTCTACATCAACATGTTCCCCTCTTCTTCATGTCCTCTTCTTCATCAACATGTGTCCCCTCTTCTTCATGTCTCTTCTTCATCAACATGTGTCCCCTCTTCTTCATGTCTCTTCTTCATCAACATGTGTCCCCTCTTCTTCATGTCTCTTCTTCATCAACATGTTTCCCCCTCTTCTTCATGTCTCTTCTTACATCAACATGTGTCCCCCTCTTCTTCATGTCTCTTCTACATCAACATGTGTCCCCTCTTCTTCATGTCTCTTCTACATCAACATGTGTCCCCTCTTCTCATGTCTCTTCTACATCAACATGTGTCCCCTCTTCTTCATGTCTCTTCTACATCAACATGTGTCCCCTCTTCTTCATGTCTCTTCTACATCAACATGTGTCCCCTCTTCTTCATGTCTCTTCTTCATCAACATGTGTCCCCTCTTCTTCATGTCTCTTCTTCATCACATGTGTCCCCTCTTCTTCATGTCTCTTCTTCATCAACATGTGTCCCCTCTTCTTCATGTCTCTTCTTCATCAACATGTGTCCCCTCTTCTTCATGTCTCTTCTACATCAACATGTGTCCCCTCTTCTTCATGTCTCTTCTACATCAACATGTGTCCCCTCTTCTTCATGTCTCTTCTACATCAACATGTTGTCCCCTCTTCTTCATGTCTCTTCTACATCAACATGTGTCCCCTCTTCTTCATGTCTCTTCTACATCAACATGTGTCCCTCTTCTCCATGTCTCTTCTACATCAACATGTGTCCCCTCTTCTTCATGTCTCTTCTTACATCAACATGTGTCCCCTCTTCTTCATGTCTCTTCTACATCAACATGTGTCCCCTCTTCTTCATGTCTCTTCTACATCAACATGTGTCCCCTCTTCTTCATGTCTCTTCTTCATCAACATGTGTCCCCCTCTTCTTCATTTCTCTTCTTCATCAACATCTTTCCCCTCTTCTTCATGTCTCTCTTCATCAACATGTGTCCCCTCTTCTTCATGTCTTCTTCATCACATGTGTCCCCTCTTCTTCATGTCTCTACATCAACATGTGTCCCCTCTTCTTCATGTCTCTTCTTTCATCAACATGTGGTCCCCTCTTCTTCATGTCTCTTCTACATCAACATGTGTCCCCTCTTCTTCATGTCTCTTCTACATCAACATGTGTCCCCTCTTCTTCATGTCTCTTCTACATCAACATGTGTCCCCTCTTCTTCATGTCTCTTCTACATCAACATGTGTCCCCTCTGTGTAAAGAGCCTCTGAAAGTTTCAGGAACAAAGATTCTCTCTCTTTTTGTCCTGATCCATTTCTATAAAAACCTGTCTGAAAATTAGCTGATCAGATTTTGGCCACTTTATGATGTCATAATGATGTGTTGGCTTGTGTAACCATTAGCCAATCACCAACCAAGGTAACCCCCCCCCCCCCCCCCCCCCTTATCACCTGAATCTCCTCCAAGAGCACTATTGTGTTCTTTTTAACCAAATGTCTCTCAGAGGGGCGTGGGGAGGGGCTCCTTATTTTCATCTAAAGTAACAGACAGAGAATCAGCACTTTGGAAACAGGGCTGAAACAGAGGGGATTATGGGATGCTGCAATGATCTGTTTGGTGTTTCAGCCAATCAGAGACATGTTCTGTATATATCTAAGACCTGTGATATATTGATGAAAAAGAGTATAATAGGGGACCTTTAAAGATGAACCATAATGTCAGACAGAGTTACTCACACTCACCTCCTTGTCCCTGCAGGAGATTCCTCCCTTTGAGACGAAGGGGGTGATGAGAGCCAGCTTCTCGTCGAGAGACGTCGACAACCACACGGCTTTCATCAGAATAAAAACCAACGCCCCCAACGAGGACCAGTTCATCATCCTGCCTGTGGAAGTGGAGGTCACATCAGGTAGGATTATCATCACCGATTGTGGCTGGAAACTATTAATATCGTGGTATTAGAATAGATTTCTGATATTGCTTTGACAGATAGGTGTCTTTTTCTGGTTTTATAGGCAGCGTTACAGTAAAAAAAAAAAAAGTCATTTTCTGTACTTATTAAAGCTGTTGCCTTTAACTGCTTAGTCATTAAATACAAAAGGCCAACGGTTATGTTGTATTCATTTTTGGAGAGCGTCATTAGACAACCATACAATAGAGTGGTGCAGTGACGCGTCCTAAAACCCGGAAGTAAACTTCTTCCAGTTCCTTCGACAAAAACGCAATGCAATTTCTCCATAGGATTTTGGAAAATAGCTTGAAATCAAGTCTGTGGTTGAGACACATTTAAGAGACGGATCACGTTTTGTTCAGCCGGATAATCTCCACATGTCTACCCTACTTTTATAATTTTCGAATCATAAATCTAGTCGCCAGAAGCAAAATGCTAACGTTATGCTATAAAGGAACTACAGCCGAGTACAGCAGCACGACTTCAACGTCACGCCAACTTAAGATCCATATTCAAACATACAGATTCTAAATGGTACGAGTTGAAGCGTTTGTTTGAACAGTCTGCAGGAGGCAGGTACTTGCTTTCAAGCAGAACAGGGCAAACAAACTTAGTGGGAGTGTTTACGTGTTCGGCGTAATGACGTACAACGTCCTCGACAACTTCTGTAGTCCTATTCAGCCACTTGGTAACAACCATCGTTTTTCAGACACGTCAACTCTTCAGAAATCACCAGTGGGGTCACTGCTGATGGATTTAATGTCGTAGAACAAAACGTGATCCGTCTCTTCAATGTGTCTCAACCACAGACCTTATTTCAGATATTTTCCAAAACCCTATGGAGAAACTGCATTGCTTTTTGTCGAAGGAACCGGAAGTGGTGAAATGCTAACTTACGTCCGGGTTTTAGGACGCGTCACTGTGGCACTGTATACCACCATAATATCAAAATTGAGTTTTACTTCGGAATATTCTTGATGATAGTGTTTTTATGGCGCAGCCCTGTCACCAAAAGTACATTTATTGTAAAACTCAGTGTCCTTTTTGTGTCAGGAACACATTTTTCTTATGATTTTGGTACTTCTTTTGCAGCCCCTGGTATATACTCCTCCACAGAAATGCTTGACTTTGGTACGCTGCGGTCACAAGGTATGAAGTCTTGAAAAACAGATCATATTGCAGAGTAATCTTCTCTTATATAAACAAGCCCTTAAAAGCCCTTCGTATAACTTCTTACTGCTTTCTGTTCTATAGTTTGTTTTTTCTGTAAGTCATTTTATTGCATCTTGCATGTGTGTCTGTGCTTTTTATTTTAGTTTCTGTATGTCCGTTTATATGTATGCTTGTTCTTGGAAAAGGGCTATACAAATCAAATGTATTCATATGTTTCGTTGCATCTTTGCTCACTTGTTCGTTCTCGTTACAGATCGCCCAAAACTGCTGAATCTACACCTTTTAAATTCAGGAACAAAAGACGTTCCAATCACAGTGGGTATCTCTTATATTATCATTTAAATTCCTGTCATCTTAACTCTCCTGTAAATGTATCCCCCTTTCTTTACGCTTCACAGAGTGTTCGGACGACGCCATCAAACGAAGCGGTGACCGTAGAGTTCAAAGCCGTCACACTGAAGGCTGGAGAGAGCAGATATACCAAAGTTGCTAGTATTAGTTTTGACGGTAAGAATATATGTGACCCGCTCTTATCGAAATCAGTCAGAAGTCGCAACGGCTCATTTCAAAATAAACGTGGATTTGCGTAAAAAAAAAAGTTTTTCGGGGTTCGGTTGTTTTGTTTGATTTTAAATAAACAAAGTCTTGGCTTTCAGAATATGAAACTTTTATTTCCAAAATCACACGATAAATACATGTTTGAAGCTTGTAAAGGGAAGAAGGCACCTCTCACTCGCACTCTGCTGTTCCGCAGCGCCGCTCCCCCTCCCTCCGGCTGACATTATGAATGTAAGGCGTATAGTAATCATAGATAACACGGCAGGGCCCGTTACAGTTTGTTTTCATCTGATTTCAATTAAACAAAGTCTTGGCTTTCAGAATATTAAACTTGTTTCGGCAAATTCAGATGATAAATACAACTCTGAAGCTTCGGCATTACAAGTGGAGAACGGAGTAACTTGACGTCACAGCAGGCGTAACAACAGCCGGTGTTTCTCGTGAGTGTTTTCCCCGGGAAACAAACACAATACATACAAACGCAAAACTACGCACGCACACGCACGCACACACACACACACACACACACACACACACACACACACACACACACACACACACACACACACACACACACACACACACACACACACACTCTCACAAGCGAGCTTCCCCCAGACCAGTAATCCAAACGAAAATATTTTCCGTCCGTACTACTTTCATAATTTGCTAATAACCAATCAGATCGATGGATTCCAGAGAAGAGGAAACTTTGAAGGCCTTTTTCTCAAAGTGATGACTCTGTAACAGTCGTTATATAATGTGACATATTTTGCTTAATATTTGGAGTACAACAACAATCCTGATATCATTAGAAAGCTAGGAATCTCCTCTTTCCAACAGTGTATACAACTCAAAATGTGTCTTCGGGTCAATGCGACTGATTTCGATGGAGCAAGTCACATATATGTTTAATACTTCTGTTGTTGAGTTTTTTTTTTAAAGAATTTCAATTGCAAACAGCTAAGCTCGGACATACAATCAATGGAAAGTAAAAGCATTCGGCAGTGTGAGAAAAATAAAGCACTTTCTGAACATTAAAGCATGGAAACATTCACAGGAGAGACACTGAAACTGAGCCTCTTTAAAAGGCTCACAGAGACACGGAAAGATCATTTTAACCACAATTAGATATGTGTTTTTTTAGACAGTGTTTTGCTTCAACTACCTTTTTAAGAATAAGTCGATTTTTACTTAATTTTTTCTTTGTATACTCAGGGGGAAATAACTTGTGTGTCCTGTAGCACATCTTGGCTGTTCATTAATAATGATCTAGAAATGTTTAAGCTCAAAGAGTTAGAGAATGACATGTCCTCACTTCACAGTATTGCACAACTTCCTCTTGTGAGGCCTTGTGCACTTATCTGCTGTGGCTTGTTCTTTTTTTCTTGCAGCCTCAAAAGCAAGACGATCATATCAGTTCTCTGGTAAGATAACTGTGAAAGCAAAAGAAAAAAGTTACTCCAAGCTTGAAATCCCGTACCAGGCAGAAGTTTTAGATGGGTGAGTTGTTAAGTGGATAAATCCTGGAGTTAATGTTTGGAGTAAATAATGTTTTTTTTTTTAATCTTAAAATGTTCCTTCCCTCTTGCAGATACCTGGGTTTCGACCACACGGCGACATTGTTCCACATCAGGGACAGCCCCGTGGACCCCGTGGATCGACCCATCTTCCTCACAAACGCCTTTGGCTTTGCAATCAGGATACACAACGTGTCTCTGCCCGAAGAGGCCAAAACAATGTTTAATGTGAGCGTCACAGAAAAGATTTAAGAGAGGGTTTAGGTGTTTTGAAGTGGGGGTTGTATGAGGTAGCTCTTTATAGTCAGTCTACTACCTACAGTGGATGAAATGTGTTGAAACCATGGATGTTTAATAAGAACTGGATACAGCGTGGGAGGCGGGGTCTCGTTCTTTCCTATGAGAGCTGCTCATTGGCGCATGAAGACAAAATGGCCCAACTTTTGAGAGAGTGAAATGTCACAGATTACCCAGCATGCCTAGCTGTCAGAGCAGAAGAACCCGTGGGTGTTTCTCAATTGCGAGTAAAGCTGCTTCCGAGCCACTATTTCAAGCATACTACGTCATCGAGTGCCGCCGAAGTACTGTTCCAATCTCCAGCATACTTGGAAATCTACCGAGCCCGGCGTACTCCGTTTGGAGAAATATCGAGTCTGCACATGAGTAGACTTCGCGGTCTTAAAATCCCCACAATGCTTTGCGCACGGACCAATTTCCCCAAATCTGTGGCGGAAGATGTAAGGCGGGGCCTCTCATATGACGCACACCTGCACACTTGCTAGCGTGTTCCACTCTTTGTTTTCCAAATGTCAGGAAGTATTCTTGACTCGCTTCTGAAGCAAGATGCTCGGCAGACATGTGCTACCAAGCAAGCGTACTCGCGATTGAGAAACACCCCGTATGTGCGCTCACAGAGCATGCGCCCCTTAAGCCCCGCCCCCCGAGCTCCCACTCTCGGCTCACTAGAATGAATGGAGAGAGAAAATAAATCAAGATTCAGCTTTTAGTACATTTTACAACTTTAAGGACCGAATGATTCTAATAAGGGCTATAAAATAGTTCATACTCTGTAAATCGTGGATAATTTTTTTTTAACTAAATAAACTACAGACGTCTCTTTCCCCATGTTAGTCAATGGGAAAAAGTTGTTTTGGGCCGGGTGACGTCACGGACTGATACGGAAATTGCAGTAACGCCGTTTGGACACAACGAATATTGGCACAGAGTCCGGCGCACTTCCTGGGGGCTTGGTTGAAACAGACAGGAGTAGCAGCAGGAAGCTTAGCTATTTACATCTGTGGGTTCTTATTTAGACACCGGCGACCAAACATCAATACCATCATCCAAATCGTAAGCTATATATATATATACACAACATGTTTTTATCCAACCAAATAATCTGCTTAAATCCATATTTGTTGGTGGTTTGCCATCCATAAACAAAACTTAACTCTAAAAAAAATTTGAGGCACGCACTGACTATTTATAATTTAATGAAGTTGACTAAATAAATAAAAAGTAATTACATTACATTGCATTTAGCTGGCACTTTTATCCAAAGCGACTTACAATAAGTGCATTCGACCAAGAAGATACAAACTTGAAGAAAACAGGTTTCATAGAGACAAAACATTTCAAGTGCTACTCCACAGGCTTTAGATAAGCCAGCCCTGTGTTAGTATATAAGTGCTTTGTTAGTCATTCTATTGCTCGAAGTGGAGTCGAAAGAGATGAGTTTTTAGTCTGCGCCGGAAGATGTGTAAGCTTTCTGCTAGGGCTGTGCGATTATGGCAAAAATTATAATCACGATTATTTGGGTCAATAATTGATATCACGATTATTAAATACGATTATTCATTGACTTTGAAAAAATCTATTTATTGAACTTTAAAACAAATACAAATAATAATTTGAACAGTATCTTTTTAACTGTTGATTACCCTGAACGTATAATTCAACTGAAAAACCAATACAAAAATAAATGATACATTTAAATAAATAATATCAAAATAATAAATACCAATAAACAAGATCAACAAATATTTTGGAGCGCACTTCCCCAAGCTACTAAACATATATAAATATGATAAATACAAATAAATGAGACCAAAATAAATTAGATCAAATATGTTGCAGTGCACGGACACAACCTAGCAAAGCAAAATAATTGTTTTTTTCGATTATGTTGTTTTCGTAATTGTGGCAGGCCAAAATCGTAATTGCGATTAAAATACGATTAATTGCACAGCCCTACTTTCTGCTGTCCTGATGTCAATGGGGAGCTCATTCCACCATGTTGGAGCCAGGATAGCAAACCCACGTGTTTTTGCTGAACTTGGGTCCCCCTTGTAGTGCGGGTGCAGCGAGCCGTTTGGCTGATGCAGAGCGGAGTGCACGTGCTGGGGTGTATGGTTTAACCATGTCCTGGATGTAGGAAGGGCCAGATCCATTCACAGCATGGTACGCAAGCACCAGTGTCTTGAAGTGGATTCTAGCAGTTACTGGAAGCCAGTGAAGGGAGCGGAGGAGCGGCGTGGTGTGGGAGAATGTAGGAAGGTTGAAGACCAGACGAGCCGCTGCAGTAATAACTAACTGAATCTAATGAACCACTTAATCTTAAAAAGACAAACTCAATCTTCAAATGTTGAAAAAGTAAAGGTATTTGGTATAGCCCTATATAGACTTTGTTAGATTGAATTGAGTCGAAGTGTAGGATATATTTAGAGTGGTTTTCACCTTGCCATTTAACATCATTTTACAACAAGGAACCAAGGCCATTTTTGTATTCTCTTCAAAGCCGACTCAATTGGACAAACAGTAATTTAAAAGATAACAACACCACAGTTGTGATGAAACACTGAATACTAGAAGTAGATCTAAAACTTTGAAAAAAGTGTTGCAATCTCTGGCTCCTTATGAATTAATAAAAAGATCATTATTTTGGCGTCTCGTGCCTTTTTCTTAGATTGCAGCTGCTGATAGAGGGGAAGTGGTGTGAGAGAAATGTGCAGAAAGGGGCGGAGATTTAGATTTGAACACAAGCAGCTGCAGTGAAGAATCAACACATGCATTTCCTCTTTTATTTAGGCCTTCCTTAAGATCAACGACCAGTTATTGTGAGTCTTTGTTGATTCCATTCTAACACTTTAAAACACCAAAGTCCCAATCCAATCCACTTTATGTCTACAGCTCATTTAAAACCAACAGAGTTGAACAAAGTGCTGTACATCAACAACTGTATAAAAACATGGCATAAATACATAAAAAACAGACAGGACATGAAACAAATGTAAAACACGAGACAATGAAACCAGATCAGAAGCCACAGACTGAAAAACTCTCCTACATGACAATACAAAACACTAGTAAGATAAAAACTCTCCTACATGACGTAAAAAACAATACAAAAACCGAAATGTAACGGCACAAGTGTCATACTGTACCTGGTCTGTGAATGCAAGAGAAAAGAAGTGGGTTTTTAAACGAGATTTTAAAACAGGCAGAGTTGGAGCAAAGACTCTGTCTCCTCGCTGCTTGATTTTGGGACTACCAGAAGTAATCTGTCAGCAGACCTCAGTGACCGTATGGTTTTAAAAGATCTGCCAGGTACGGTGGGGGTCCCACATAAACCAGGGTGTCCGCGGGGTCTTAAAAAGTATTAAAAGTTGATGAATCAATTTAGCGAAAATTAAGCCTATTACAAAGTATTAAACGGCATTTTCCAAGGTATTACATTTTGCAGCTTGTTTCCAATAAGTATATAAATGGTCCAAAGAGGTTGTATTCTACAGTCTGCCTGAATGTAATCATTGCGTAGGTGTGTAGTGTGATTCTGTGTAGTTTATTTATGGCATCCCGTTGGATTTGACGTCATCTGAACAGGACATCACACGCTCACTGCTTGATAGCGCGCGAAGGTCCGTTTACGCCGGTTGTTAAACAACATCGTTATGGGGAAATGCAAGTCTGCGTCCAAATGGTTGGAAGATAAGGAGGAAGGACAATCAATACTGTATATAGTCAATGTGAGGTAAAGTGTGTCGCCAATGTAACCGGTTAAAACTCCAAGTGGCGATGAGGTCTTAAAATGTATGGAAAGGGTCTTAAAAAAGCTCTTAAAAGGGATTACATTTGACTTCAGGATTCCTGCATATACCCTGATAAACACAAACAGATATAAAATGTACTGTTTTTAGATGGAGTCAGGTGGCTTTAAAGAGAGCATAGATAATGCCTTTAGTTCCTCTTCAGACCGGGTGCAGTGGTGAAAATATAGCTTGCATTTAGACTGAAATTGATGTTTTTTGGTGTCTCAAAAACACATCCAAAGCATTTTATTGCTGCTGTAGAAAACACGCCATCTGTGAAGAAATACCTCATGCAACCCTGCTTTAAAAACATCCAAACAGCTGATATTTTTGTATGGGAATTGTTACATCTACTGACTTCCCTTTCTGTTTCAGGCGCAGAACTTCAGCGCCCCCATCCTGATCCCCGCACACGAGTCTCGTTACATTTTCTCCCTGCTCTTCCGACCTGTGCGACCCTCCATTCACATAGACAGCAACATCCTGCTCATCACAAACGCATCCAAGTTTCACCTGCCTGTCCGGGCCTACACAGGCTTCCTGGAGGTACACAATGGACATTTATATGTACATAATACGTAGCTTATTTACCTACCATCAAAGCGGTACTGAACAAAGAGCATATTAACCTTTATAACTTTCATTTTTATCACTTAAAAAGTCTGTTTTCATCATAAAATACAGCTACTGAAGCAGTGAAGTTGGCAGAAAAAGGGTTCAAATGTATGTTTTCCAGACAAGCTGATAAACTGCATAACAAATAACACTAGTTCCTTGAAATTGTGATTATAAGTTGATCATTTACAGTCGTTAGCTTGTAGAAATGGAATGTGTCTCCAGCTGTTTCAGTCTCAGTTAAATTGCAGACTGATATCTTTATGAGGAACTAGTTGTTTTGTCCTTTGCCACGTTGAAAGTTCTTGTGAAGAAAAACAGAAGTCGCATTCAGTTTTCAGTTTTGACCATATATGTAGTTATGTCTTTGTAAGGCAGGGTAGACATCCTGGTTCTTGGTGATATGCGTCTGTGTAACGTGTTTGTTTTTTGTCGCCTTTTTTGAAAAGCCTCTGGTCCTGCCTCCCAGTCTGAAGGAGAACATCCTGGACTTTGGGGTCCGCAGTGCAACAGACACCAGCAGCATCATATTTGTGGTGGTCAACAGTAATCCCATAGAGGTGAGATCACGCAGAATACTGCTTTTACTGAACAGGCACACAAGGGTTCAGTGGGAAGAGACACAAAACAACCACAAAATGACAAAAATGTGACCCTAAATAGCCAAAAGACACAAAAAAACACCAACAAAGTGACACAAAAGGAGTGCAAATTTAAACTCAACAGTCAAAACACACACAAAGCTACTACAAAGAGACACACAGTGACCAGGGTTTCACACTAAACCGCCAAAACACACACACAATAACCCCGAAGAGACACAAAAGTACTGCAAATCGACCAAAATGAACACATATTGAAATGCAACAGTCAAAAAACACACAAAACTACCCAAAAGGACAACGGTTTGACACTAAATAGCTAAAAGACACACAAAATGACCCCTAAGACACAAAACTTCTAAAAATCAACCAAAATTAACACATATTGAAACTCAAAATTAAAAACTTCCCCAAAAGAGACACAAAAGGACAACGGTTTGACACTAAACAGCCAAAACACACACAGAATAACCCCTAAGAGACACAAAACTACACCAAAATTAACACATATTGAAATTCAACAGTCAAAAAATACACAAAACTTTCCAAAAGACACACAAAAGGACAACGGTTTGACACTTAATAGCTATAAGACATACAAAAATAGACCAAAGGGACACAAAACTACTGCAAGTCGACCAACATCGACACATTGAAACTCCACAGTCAAAACACACACAAAACTACCCCAAAGAGACACAAAAGGACAATGGTTTGACACTAAATAGCTAAAAGACACATAAAATGACCCCTAAGACACAAAACTACTACAAATTGACCAAAATGAACACATTTTGCAATTCAACAGTCAAAAAACACACAAAACTACCCCAAAAAACACACAAAACTACCCCAAAAAACACACAAAACTACCCCAAAAAACACACAAAATGAACCCTAAGAGACACAAAACTTCTAAAAATCAACCAAAATTAACACATATTGAAACTCAAAATTAAAAACTTCCCCAAAAGAGACACAAAAGGACAAAGGTTTGACACTAAACAGCCAAAACACACACAGAATAACCCCTAAGAGACACAAAACTACTGCAAATCGACCAAAATGAACACATATTGAAATTCAACAGTAAAAAAACACACAAAACTTTCCAAAAGAGACACAAAAGGTCAACGGTTTGACACTAAATAGCTATAAGACACACAAAAATAGACCAAAGAGACACGAAACTACTGCAGATTGCAAAAGTGCAGTCACACAGTGTTCTGCCAAAGGACTCCCTTCACAGTTGTTGGTGTTGAACTTTTCCTTTCTGTCCTGCAGCTGGAGATAAAGTCGTGGCTCGTCACAGGAGACAGTATTTCGATGGAGCTGCTGAAGACAGAGAAAGGAAACGCCACTGTGGCTCTGAACCGCCTCCGAGAGCTGCAGAACATCTCCGCCTCCAGCCACAAAACTGTAAGGATTCACACTCTTTAAAGAGACTCGGTTACAAAAACACTCAGAAAATCAAGTATACATAGATGGGATTTAAAAAGCTAACATTTTGCATCAAATTGAGTTAACCCTTAGATGCATAAGTGGGTCTTTTTGGACCCGGTGAGGTGGTTTTCTTGAAGTATCTTTGTAATTACATTTTTTTATCATTTCATATTCCAGCTATTCCTCAAAAAACATGTTTTGGATATCATGCCATTTAAATTTTAAATTTTATACATTTTAAGAAATTGTAGTTTTTGTATTTCTACCCCAAGCTTCCATAAGTGGGTCTAAAATGACCCGCATGCATTTTCTATGGGATCCTCTGGGAACCTTTGATTCTTATCACCTGTTGCTGTCAGGAATACATTCACTGTAGGACACACAGACGACTACACAAGTGACACCTCTCAGGAAGATTATTTTACACAGCAAGATCTGATACCTGTCACTATAATAATAATAATAATAATAATACATTATATTTGTATAGGGCTTTTCAAGGACTCAACATCGCTTTACAATATAAGGGAAGGTTAGGGTGGGGAGGGTATAGGACTATCAAACTTGATCAACCGGCATGGATTGATGGGGGGTGGGCCTATGAGTAGACAAGAGGAGAAGAGATGAGTTTTGAAAAGGGACTGGAATACCGTGAGGGTCTCAGAGTAGCAGAGATCTTTGCATCAATATGTTCAAAACGGTTTTTTTCAAAATGTAAAAAAAAATTCTAAAATTCTAAATAGTGAAAAATTTAATGTAAAATATTTCTAGTGTCAACCAAAATATAATACTAAATATTATACAAGGGATTTTTCTTAACCAAAATGGCATAAAAACACATATTATTCTAATACGGGTCCTTTTTGACCCACTTGTGGAAGAGAGTAGGGTCCAGGCACTCGGGCATCTAATGGCGCGTTTCCACTACACGGCCTCGCTCGGCCCCGCTCGGTATGGCTAGGCCTCGTTAGGACTGGCTCACTTTATGGCGCATTTCCATTACAGTTTAGGAACTGGGGTAGTATCTATAGTAACGCAGTGTAGGCGGAGCCGTGACGTGATCTTCAGAGGACCCCAGAAAAACAACACAGCCGTTAGCTGTTAGCACTCAGAGCTCACAGCTCCTCATATCTGTTCAGAAACTAGACAAAAGTGAAACAAGTACAAACCACAGACTGCCTGTGTCATGGTGAATACAGTCGCTGCTTTCTTTATGTCTGTATAGGCCGTTGTTGTGAGTGTGGACGGTCGGAGCATATACTGCGTTAGCTTAGCCAATCTCCATTTAGAAAACAAGCATTTTAAAAGGTTTTCCGCCTGCCGTCTGTCTGCAGACTTGTCAAAGCATTAATTCATGGTTTTTACTAACCGGTATCAGTATGTTGTTACTTCTGCATCATTTTGAAACGTGTATTACAATTAAATCACGGTCAAATATGTCCATCTTGTTGTAGTTGTTGCCCCCTTGCCAGCGATGCTCTCTCTAGTTTAGCATACTCAGCCCGACTCAGCCTCGTTGTCTCTGGCCCTGGACCCACGATTTTATGAGGCCAGAAAAACTGTGAATTAGGACCCGCCGGCCGGTACTAGGCCAAGTGGAAACGCAACCAAAGACGGGCCGCTGACGTCACAGCCCTCTTAAACCGGGCTGCGCGCTGTAGTGGAAACGCGCCACAAGGGTTAAAACAAATGATTTCGTAGTTTAGTTTAGTTCAAAGTTAAAATGTTCTTTACAAAGGATGCTAACATTTTCAGAAGTTTATCTGGATGTTTGAAAGCAAGGAGGACAAGCAAAAGTGACTTATCTTCTTCATAAAAACAACCAAGGTCGAACACAAGGACCTCAGTGTTGTTAGAATTGAGATGAAGGGAAGTTAATGGGGAGCGGTGTCGCCTATCTAATGCGATAAAAAGAAAGGTCCATGTCGAGGCAAACAGAAGACATGTTGCGAGTACTTTAGGGTGAAAGGAGGAGCAGTTAAATACTCGAGCACAGTCTGTGTCTTTGTTCTTCCTCTGGGTTATTCCTTGAAGGTTTGCAGGGGGAGGCTCGAGAGAAACTGGTGACATTGCAACTTCTACTGATGAAACAGAAACATGCTTATCAACAGTTTCAGGATACACACTTTTACACAGTGTCTAATTGTTACACACACATTTAGAGAGAATGCACTTTCAAAACTTCTACAAATGGACTAAAATGAACATATTGAAATTCAACAGTCAGAAAACACACAAAACGACCCAAAAGAGACACAAAAGGACAAAGGTTTGACACAAAATAGCTAAAAGACACACAAAAATAGACCAAAAGAGATACAAGACTACTGCAAATCGACCAAAATGTAAACATATTGAAACTCAACAGTCAAAACACACAAAACTACCCCAGAGAGACACAAAAGTAGTGTCATTTTTACGTGACAAACAAAGCATACAGTGAAGGAAATAAGTATTTGATCCCTTGCAGATTTAGTTAGTTTACCCACTTACAAAGAAATGAACAGTCTTATCATTTTAATGGTAGCTTTATTTTTACTAATGAGAGAGAGAGAGAATGTCAAAAAAGAAAATCCATTAAGCTTGCTTTGTTTCTCACGTAAAAATGACACTACTTTTGACAAGGCGTTAAATGTTTTAGGTTTATTGGATATAAATTTGCATTAATTGTAAGCTTTCATGCTTCAAGTGTCTCAGTTTGTATTGGTTTATGTAACTTGAGAGTGCTTGAGAAGTGTTTTAACTTTACCCCTAGATAGCCATAATCCCTGTAACAAGATTAAGGTTATTCTTGCGTATAAAAACACACATTGACCAATTTTTTGTCTTATTTTTGTCTCTTTAAAGGTGATATTAGCATCCGGCTATTATGCAGCATTCAGAGTGACACTGGTGGCCAAAGCACTGGAGGGCCTGTATGATGGAGCCATTCACATCACCACAGATTACGAGGTAGGAAGAAAGCCAATCAAAAGCTGCTATTTTTAAACCAATCAGCATTCAGTCTAATGTTGCCTCTTCTCTCCTCCATCAGATATTAACCATCCCAGTGAAAGCTCTCATCGCAGTGGGGACGCTAAGCAGCTCTCCGAAGCACATCGTTTTACCGGCTTCGTTTCCAGTGAGTAACTCGGAGGCCTAATTCCAAACCGACCCCCACACACACTTCCAGTCCTTTAGCGGGTTCACATGGAGGGTCCGCCAACAAGTGGGGAGTGGGTTATCAAGCCCTCCAACAGCGAGTTAGTGCAGGCCTGAAAAATGCTGTTTACAAATAGTTCTGTGCAAACGTTTACTAGTAAGTTGCACCAAATAAGAGACATTTAATATTGTATTTGATGTCAACTTGAAGGTTAGACTTATGATACGATAATACTTTACTGTCAGATCAATCGGACATTTTTCTTGCATCGCAGCACCTCCATTTGCAAAATCAAACAAGGTCACATATTAAGGCACGATGCAAGGAAACAGACATTTAACATACCATTGCAATCACTGAAAAAATAACTAGTTTAAGACCCTCTAACGTACATTAGATCTGGGATGTTTAATTTGAGGATCGACTGGTGCACAAAGGAGTGCTTCAGTCTTACTTTATTGAATGGTGGGACCCTGTACCTCCGATTTAATGGTAACAACAACAACTTGTTCATTTGTTTGTAAAGTTTTAAACGTAAAAACCAAGTTATAATGTTGATAAAAAGAGTCTAAATATCAAGAATAATGTTTAAATGTTGATTATAAAGTCTAAATGTAGATACAACAAGTTGCAATATCAAGAATAAAGTCAAAATATTGAGAGAAACGTCAAAATATTGCAAATAAATGTCAAATATATTGAGAATAAACGTAAAAACCAAGTTATAATGTTGGTAACAACAAGTTTCAATATCAAGAATAATGTCGCGTCGGGCTCCTGATCTGCCTGTCGGGTGTTCTTTTCCCCATAATGACCGCCTCGCTGCACATTATCCCTTACTTAATACAAAGGGAGGTCAGGTACTCTTTAAAACAGCTGGTAGTTATGGGTACTTTCTACTTAAGTACATTTCAAAGCCCTCTTTACTTTTACTTGAGTAAAGAAGTTTAGTCAGTACTTCTACTTTTACCAGAGTACTTTTAAACACGAGTATCTGTACTTCTACTTGAGTAAAGGGTGTGTGTACTTTTGCCCTCTCTGCTCTTAACGTGTCTGATATGTGTTTGTTATCTGTTCTTCAGGGCAAAGTGGTTCATCAGAGCTTCAGCATCCAGAGCTCCTTCACTCAGAAAGTGCGGCTGCAGCAGATCCGCTCGCTGACTGAAGACATTCGCTTTTATTATAAGCGGCTGCGCAACAACAGAGACGAGCTGGAGCCCAGACGGAAGTCCAAGGTGTGTATTCCCCTTCATCTCACCTCCCTGATCTCATTATGCTCCTTATGAACGTGAACTTATTTTTCTTTCCTCCATCTTTTTCAGGTGGCTAATATTTATTTTGACGCCAGCTTGCAGTGTGGTGATCACTGTTATGTGGGGCTGCCATTTGTGCTTAAATGTAAGTTGTTTCTTTTGAGTGTGTGTGTGTGTGTGTGTGTGTGTGTAAAATAAAATATTTACGGAAGAGTTGAAGGGCCGGGCATGAGAGGTAAAAACAAAAGGACGATATTGAAGAATAAAATCCAACTTAAAGTTATATATATAGTATATTGATTTTTATTCAAATGTTTAACTTTTATAATCAAAATGTTGACTTTATTCACCAGATTTTTACTTAATTCTTAATATTCTGACTCAATTTGTACTTAAGTCTCAACATTTCAACTTTATTCCCAATATTATGACTTTATTACGAACATTTTCACTGTTCTTATTGGATTTCAGACTTTTTTGCCATTTATTCTCAATATTTTTGACTTAATTCTCGATACGTTGACTTTAAAGGGGACCTATCATGTAAAATGCACTTTGTGATGTCTTGTATACATAACTATGTGTCCCCGGTGTGTCAGGGAACTCACGCAGCGTCAGAAAATAAAACCCTCTCTTTTCCTCCGTACCCAAATCTTTTAAAAACGGGGGTACAACGGGCAGATACAGATTTGCTGACGATATGACGTAATTTCGGATGGTGGACCCACAGAGAGTTGCTATCAGAAACAATGCCTGACGTGTTTTGGACGTAATCTCGTCTTTGTTTACATTAGCAAGCCTCGCTAACACTCAGAGCTAACCTGTACTGGAGAGCACATGTGTTTAAAAAGCAGGAAATAAAAAAAGGAACTCACCTTGTGATAAACCCGCAAGAGAAAAAGCATTTGAGCTCCATACTGTTTCAGAAATAATCCTTGATGTGGTTTAGAACAGGATGGCGTTTTATCACAGCAGAATTTAACTTTATCTCCGGTAGAATTCTGATCAGGCATTAGCTCCGCCGCCTCTTTTTTTTTCAAGCTAAGGACCCAAAATCCGCGTTTCTCTAACAGGGCTGCAAAAGAGGGGTTTGAGAGATTTCTAAAATGCATGATCGGTTTGTATTTTGAGAAAACATCATAGACATGTTTTTATATATCTGAGACCCATAATATATGCCTAAAGATAGCATGATAGGAGCCCTTTAATCTTAACATTATCGCTTCATTCTCAAAATGCGTAACTATAAAAATAAATCTTCCTTAATAATGTGTCCCTCTTATGCCTGGCCTGAACACTCTTTGGTGCAAATCTCCCACAACAAGAACGGAAATGTTGTATTAATGAATCTGTATGTCCCTCCCCAGCGGAGTCGAAGCCTCACGGTCTGGCGCTTCAGGAAGATATCTGGGACGCAGACGTAGATCTTCATCAGAAACTCCTGCGCAGATGGAAAGAGCTCAAAGAGCGCTCGGGACACAAGTGAGTGTCCCCTCTTCCTCATGTCTCTTCTACATCAACATGTGTCCCCTCTTCTTCATGTCTCTTCTACATCAACATGTCCCCTCTTCTTCATGTCTCTTCTGCATCAACATGTGTCCCCTCTTCTTCATGTCTCTTCTACATCAACATGTGTCCCCTCTTCTTCATGTCTCTTCTTCATCAACATGTGTCCCCTCTTCTTCATGTCTCTTCTACATCAACATGTGTCCCCTCTTCTTCATGTCTCTTCTTCATCAACATGTGTCCCCTCTGTGTAAAGAGACTCTGAAAGTTTCAGGAACAAAGATTCTCTCACTTTTTGTCCTGATCCATTTTTATAAAAACCTGTCTGAAAATGAGCTGATCAGATTTTGGCCACTTTATGATGTCATAACGATGTGTTGGCTTGTGTAACCATTAGCCAATCAGCAACCAAGGTAACCCCCCCCCCCCCCGGGGAAAATCGGGGATCGGATTTTTTTTTTTTTTTTTATATAAAATATTTTTATACATTTTATTTAATGTTACAAAACAAAAATGACCATGTTCACGTCTTAAAGTCATCCTGAGGCCTTAGTTTTGGGTTAAAATTACACATCATGTATGTGTTGCTTCTTTTGGGCTTGTTTTCATAGACCTGGTTGCTTATTTCTCTCAAATCTGGCAACAGAGTGGGCGCAGTGTCTAATAGTAGCAGTAAGCTAACAAGAGGCTACGTTCAGCTGGTGACTCGGGAGTCGGGACAGAGAAAATGTCAGGAGTTTGGAAGTATTATAAAATTGAAAGCGAAGGCAGTGTAACAGCCAGATGCAATGTTTGCAAGGCGGAGGTTCCGCGTGGTGGAAAGAACAGAGCTACGTTCAACATGACCAATCTAATACAAACACCAACAACAACAACACGACGAGTACACAGCGGCCACTCAGGTAACGGCACTGAAACAACCGACACTTTCAGAGACTTTTAAAAGGAAAGAGAAACTACCCCAGAACAGTGAAAAGGCCAAAAAAATAACAGCCAAGATAGCTGAATTCATCGCGTTGGATGACCAGCCGTTATCTGTTACCTTTTTTTCCTCTTAATGCATTGCATAAAGATCGGATCGGGAAAAATCGGTATCGGCAGATTGTCAAAATCAAATGATCGGAATCGGATCGGGAGCAAAAAAAGGTGATCGGGACATCCCTATCTCTAATGTATATTATATAAAATCCGTTCCCTGTAAATGTGTGACTTTTATCTCAAAGAATTTCTGACCTTTCTTCACAAACTTATGACTTCAAAATCTCATAGTTTTATATTTTAACTCAATCATATACCAGTTTATTCTCGGTGAACATCCAAGTGTTTCCCATTTAAATTCACGACTTTGCTCTTGAGTCAGAATAAGACCCCATGGTTCCACGTTTATTTCTGTATTTTCTACCTGCAATTCCCTTTATTGTCACGTAGTCTTATTCTTGTTCTTTATTAGGATCCCCATTAGCACTAGCATGAGCATTGGGTATTCTTCCTGGGGTCCTCAAACATACATCAAACAAAACTAAGACAAAACAGCTCATCATTTCATGTAATTGAACATTCAATATGAAGTGAATAATTGTACAGAACTATACATAGCCACAGGCACAGTTCAATTATACTTTATCATACTGAGATGATTTTTAAAGGTCACCTATCATGCTATTTTTAGGCAATAGCATAGGTCTCGGATATATATACAAAATATATAAAAAACATGTCTATGAAGTGTTTTGCTCAAAATACCAAACAGATCACCCATTCTAGCCATGCCTCATATCCCTCTATTTCACTTCCTGTTTCAAAAGTGCTGATTTGGGGTATAAAGCACGGTAAACGTCACAAGATGTGTTTTTTTTTTTTCTCTTTCCAAAAAGGATCGAAGCCGTCTTTGAAGTCAACACGGACCTCCAGAAGAATGTGCAAGCTAAAATCACGGCTCACCTGACCTGGCCGTCGCTGGTGAACTCCTCTCAGAGAATCATGTTCCCTCTGACCAACACAAACAGCTCCTCTGTGAGTAAACAACAACAACCAAACACACACACAGGAATGTCTTGAGGTTCCGCTGCAACTCTGACTGCTTTTAAATCCAGGCTGAAGACTTTTCTTGTTGCCGCTGCTTTTAATTGAACTATTCACATCTCACACTGCACTGTAACGTTTATTCATGTACCTGTTGTTATTCATGTTTGATTATCTCTGCTTATTAATGTGAAACTGAGTGTAACCTCTCTGTGTGTTCCTGCAGGAGGAGCAGGTGATTCTGCAAAACCCTGCAGACGTGCTGGTTTACGTGCAGGTGCTCCCTTTGGCCTTGTTGCCCAACCCCTCGGTGTTCTCTGGAAAGCTGGCGGACAGGTGGGACGTTTTCACAAACTCAGCACTTTCTCATTTCTATTTAACACCCTTCATCTTCCTCTCACTGTGATCCTCTCGGGTTTCTGGGCTTGTGTTTACTTTTTGATTTTAATATTTCACTTATTAATAACAATTTTGACTTTTATTCTCAACATTATAACTTCGTTTTTACGTTTATTCTCAATATTTTTGACATTTATTTGCAATATTTTGACGTTTTTCTCAATATTTTGACTTTATTCTTCATATTAAGACTCTTTTTATCAATATTATAACTTAGTTCTTACGTTTAGTCTCAATATTTTTGACTTTATTTTCAAAGGTTTGACATTTATTCTCTACATTTTGACGTTTCTCTCAATATTCTTGACTTTATTCTTGATATTTCAAACTTGTTTTAATCTACATTCAGACTTTATGTTGATATTTAGACTGTTTTTATCACATTTTATAACAATTTGGACTTTAATTCACCACATTTTGACTTAGTTCTAAACATTTGGACTCTATTCCTGATATTTAGACTCTTTTTATCAACAATATAACTTAGTTCTTACGTTAAGTCTCAATATCTTTGACATTGAATCGCAGTTTTTGAAGTTTTTCTCAATATTCTGACTTTATTCCTGATATTTCAACTTGTTTTATCTACATTTAGACTTTATCAACATTAAAGCGTTATTCTTCACATTTGATTATTTTTATCAACATTATAACTTCGTTTTTACGCTACGTCTCAATATTTGACATTTATTCTCCACATTTAGACTTTTTTATCAACATTTAAACTTTATTCCTTATATTAAGACTCTTTATATCAATATTATAACTTTGTTTTTATGTTTATTCTCAATATCTTTGACATTTAATTGCAGTATTTAGACGTTTTTCTCAATATTTTGGCTTTATTCTTGATATTTCAACTTGTTTTTATCTACATTTAGACTTTATGTTGATATTAAGACTGTTTTTATCAACATTATAACTTAGTTCTTGTGTTTATTCTCAATACTTTGACATTTTTCTTCAATATTTTGGCTTTATTCCTGATATTTAAACTTTATTTCAACATCAATAATCATTGTATCTCCCAGGCTGCCATTAGGAAACCTATCCAACATCAACATCGACACGAGCACCTTAGAGTTCCAGGTCCACAGAAACCAGGTGAGTGAGTTCACAGAGAATCAGCTGTTTCTGAGCTGCATGTGGACGCAGGTTGTGTCTAACAGACTCTCTCTCTCTCTGTGTGTTTTGCAGACGTCCCTAATAAAGAGCAGCTCAGGCTTCGTGGAGGGATCGACCCGGCCCTTTGTGTACAACCTGCTGCTGCTGCCCGGAGAGATAAAGGCCTTCAACGTGAGGTTCACTCCCACCAGCAACCACAGCGTCTCCTCCCTCCTCATCGTCAGGTAATGGCCGTTATTACAGAAAAATAGACTGTTTCCATTGTGTTGGTTTCTTTTCCTTGTGTAGCTAATACTAGCCTTGTTATCCGGTTGGTATTCAAGGAACTGGTTCAGGGAATTTCTTCACGAATAGGCAGAAACGTCCACTTAGACTCAACGGTGAACTGATTCGAAAATTCAAGATTCAAGGCTTTTATTGTCCTGTGTACATAGCTACAGTGTAGATATGACAATGAACATCTTAGGCTCCTCCAACAGTGCAACACAATAAAACAGATAAAATAGTGCAAGTAAATACAAATAGAATATAATGGAAATAGTGCAGAATAGTCTATATACAAGTAATTGGAATATTGATATATATAAGTTGGTATAATTGTGGTCAGAAGTAAAAGTCACTAACTTAAAACCACCAGTTTTTGGCCATAACTCAATAATTTAAACCCTATTTATGACAATTTCACATAAATCAGTTTGGAAAAAAAGTATTAACGCTGTTAGTGTAGTCACTGTATGTTGTGTGCAACTGCTGCATTGGAAAAAACATGTGTATATTGTCAATAACAATAAGGAAACGTTGGTATTTCTTGACATCAATATTGCATTTTGATATCGTCATGTTCATTGACGTCAATGCCGTCTCCCCATCTGAGTAATGGGAAAAAAGCCTGTGTTTTTAGAAAGGCAATAACTAAACTAAGTATGCATTCTTCTGTGGTCTGTGTTTTTCTTCAGGAATATCTGACGGGATCGACACCATCATTCTTTCCACGGGCAGAGGAACGACGGAGAGCCTGAGGTGGGCGGGGAAGCTCCGGGTCAGGGCAGCTCTCTGAGGTTCAAGATGACCGAGGCGCTGCTGAAGGACTGCACAGAGAGTGAGTGTGTGTTCCTGCAGATCTGTGGGACCCCGGGATGCATTTACACTGGGTGAAAGGCAGATTAAATACACTTTCATTTAAACAAAGCCATATACAGTATGTTGACGACATCACATCAGGGTTGGTTGTATCTGAAAATTAGATTAGAGAATGATAATTTTCGAGGGGATCCTAAAACCTAAATTCACAAATTATAAAACACATACAGACCGTTGCATAAACATAACATCGATACAGATACACACATACAGGGTGTTTCTCCAATGTCGAGGAAGGCCAAGCCCCCAGGAAGTGCGCCGGACTCTGAGGAAAATATTCGTTGTGGCCAAACGGCAGTACTACACTTCTGTATCAGTCGCTGGGCCCGGAAACACTTTTTCCCATTGACTAACATTGGGAAAGAGACGTCTGTAAATCGTTGGATATTTTTTTTAAACTAAATAAACTACCC